TGGTAATTGGTGGTAGGGATGGTGATAATAGTGGTAATTGGTGGTAGGTGATAAGTGGTATGGTGGTAGTGATGGTGATAATAGTGGTAATTGTGGTAGTATGGTGATAATAGTGGTAGTGGTGGTAGTGATGGTGATTAGTGGTGGTGGTAGTGATGGTGATAATAGTGGTAGTTGGTGGTAGTGATGGTGATAATAGTGGTAATTGGTGGTAGGGACGGTGATAATAGTGGTAATTGGTGGTAGTGATGGTGATAATAGTGGTAATTGGTGGTAGGGACGGTGATAATAGTGGTAATTGGTGGTAGGGATGGTGATAATAGTGGTAATTGGTGGTAAAGATGGTGATAATAGGGGTGATAATGGTAGTGATGGTGATTATGGTGATGGTGAGAGTAGTGACGTCACCAACAACAGTGCCAGAGCTGTGTCGTATAATCACAACATGTTTAACACCGTTAACTATAAATCATAATTACCAATTATAAAATTATTTTGACATAATTTGTATCTTCGATAATTATTATTATTATTATTTATTACCTATCTTTATGAATTATATAATTAGTCATTAAATAATTACTATTTATCTTTCTTAAATTTATAACAAAAGTAAACATTAGAAACTTTAACCAAATCACATTGCAAAGTATTTAAAAAAAAATACGAAAGTAACATTAAAATGAGTTTAAAAATTTATATTATAAAACGTTTCAAAAACAAACGTCACACATAACCAAATGTTTCAAAACCAAAATAACAGAAGTAAAATTATGATCAACGATCACTATTAATCACTATTGTTGTTCAGCGCGGTCAGGAACACACCATCTTCTTGAGGTTATCTTGAGATGATTTCGGGGCTTTAGTGTCCCCCGCGGCCCGGTCCTCGACCAGGCCTCCACCCCCCAGGAAGCAGCCCGTGATAGCTGACTAACATCCAGGTACCTATTTTACTGCTAGGTAACAGGGGCAAAGGGTGAAAGGAACTCTGCCCATTGTTCCTCGCCGGCGCCCGGGATCGAACCCGGGACCACAGGATCACAAGTTCAGTGTGCTGTCTGCTCGGCCGACCAGCTCCCATCGTCACAATCAGATAACAACAGTGAAGTCATCAACACCTGAACAAATCCACAAGGGCCGTGACGAGGATTCGAACCTGCGTCCGGGAGCATCCCAGACACTGCCTTAATCGACGCAGGTTCAAATCCTCGTCACGGCCCTTGTGGATTTGTTCATTTGATGCATCACTTTAGTGTGATCTCTGTGTCATCAACACCTGGTTTCTAATAGTAGTATATAGTTGATTTCTTCCTCGATTCAAAATCGGGAAAATTGCGAGCTCGAATCCCGGCCAGGACAGAAAGGGGTTGAGCACATTTCCTTTCACCCCTATGCCTCTATCCACCAAGCAGTACATTGACGTACCCAGGAGCTAGGCAACTGCTGAAGGGATTGCATTCTGAACAACGGTTCGAGCTTAGGTTTGGATAGGAGAGGATGAACGAACCTCTAAACAAACCTAGGGTACATAAATACCCAGACTCCCTGTCCCCGACAAAACAGAATCCACTAACCCCCCCCCCCCCAAGCATAACGCCACCCCTACAACCCCTAAATACTCGTGAACAGCCCTGAAAACCCTCTTTGTGTCAAGAGCCCTAAATATTGGGGCTAGCCTATGGGAAGTTGAAGGGGAGGAATGGGGGGGTGTAGAGTGGGTAACCACAATATTGGTTTTAACTCACTCTTGCTCAATGGGAGGCTGTGTAAACGATACCAATGAGGGAGGGGGGAAAAGGGGGGATTTCGTAGGGGATTACTACATGATTTATGACCCTTCTCTGTGAGGGATTTTTGTTTATTTTTCTCGGTCTGTGTGATAATATTTTGGGCCTCGATGAAACATCTAGATTTCAGAAGTTGATTAGTGTAAGCAATTGGGATGAACTATGTCAAATGGAATGATCTATAGTCAAATAGAATAAAATAGAATGATCTATAATCATATTCAATGAGCTCTAATGAAATGGAATGATCTATAATCAAATGTAACGAAGTATAATAAAAGGGCATGATTGATATATATATATATATATATATATATATATATATATATATATATATATATATATATATGTAAAGGTGTACATCAATTGTGTACAAGTACCCTGGCTATTAATATCTTAGAAACAGAGAATGGTCAATATAGTGAGCGTTGATGTCAATATAGTGAGCGTTGATGTCAATATAGTGAGCGTTGATGTCAATATAATGAGCGTTGATGTCAATATAGTGAGCGTTGATGTCAATATAGTGAGCGTTGATGTCATTATAGTGAGCGTTGATGTCAATATAGTGAGCGGTGATGTCAATATAGTGAGCGGTGATGTCAATATAGTGAGCGTTGATGTCAATATAGTGAGCGTTGATGTCAATATAGTGAGCGTTGATGTCAATATAGTGAGCGTTGATGTTAATATAGTGAGCGTAGATGTCAATATTGCGAGCGTTGATGTCAATATTGCGAGCGTTGATGTCATTATAGTGAGCTTTGATGTCAATATAGTGAGCGTTAATGTCGTTATAGTGAGCTTTGATGTCAATATAGTGAGCGTTGATGTCAATATAGTGAGCGGTGATGTCAATATAGTGAGCGTTGATGTCAATATAGTGAGCGTTGATGTCAATATAGTGAGCGTTGATGTCAATATAGTGAGCGTTGATGTCAATATAGTGAGCGTTGATGTCAATATAGTGAGCGTTGATGTCAATATAGTGAGCGTTGATGTCAATATAGTGAGCGTTGATGTCATTATAGTGAGCGGTGATGTCAATATAGTGAGCGTTGATGTCAATATAGTGAGCGTTGATGTCAATATAGTGAGCGTTGATGTCAATATAGTGAGCGTAGATGTCAATATAGCGAGCGTTGATGTCAATATAGTGAGCGTTGATGTCATTATAGTGAGCTTTGATGTCAATATAGTGAGCGTTGATGTCAATATAGCGAGCGTTGATGTCAATATAGTGAGCGTTGATGTCAATATAGTGAGCATTGATGTCAATATAGCGAGCGTTGATGTCAGTATAGTGAACTTTGATGTCAATATAGCGAGCGTTGATGTCAATATAGTGAGCGTTGATGTCAATATAGCGAGCGTTGATGCCAATATAGCGAGCGTTGATGTCAATATAGCGAGCGTTGATGTCAATATAGCGAGCGTTGATGTCAATATAGTGAGCGTTGATGTCAATATAGCGAGCGTTGATGCCAATATAGCGAGCGTTGATGTCAATATAGCGAGCGTTGATGTCAATATAGCTAGCGTTGATGTCAATATAATGGCTGTTGATAAGAATTAAGATAACATACAAGTGATACAGCTCAGGGAACGAAGTCGCAGCAACACATACCAAAATACTGACTTCATTTGCATGGGAAAAAAATTAATTAGCTGACCAGTTCACTTAAGAAACTAATTTGACTTTAAGTAAAGTGACAAAATGCAAAATAATAAAGAAAATAAACAACATAGATAAAATAGAGAGATGCAAGGTCGCTGTAAAATTGTGAAATCTAGTTAACTGATGGAATGATAAACAATTTAGGCCTATCCGGAGCCCTAACGAGGTGATTAGAGCTGTTAAAAAATATATATATATTTCAGTGTTTTGAATATGTACGATATACAAATCTTAAACGCATCTCCCCGCCACGAGGAGTCAAACCAGAGGAGGTAGGGCCCTGTGGTACAACCTGGATAAATGTAGTTAGGTTTAGAGGAAGGAACATTCTTAGTCTATCTCATATCCTTTGGTGAGTAAATGAGTTTAAAGTGCACACTAAACTACTCTGTATATTTCTGAGGTGCAAACTAGGCATAACATATTGGCATGCGGTAGGGATAATGGAATAAAGTAAGGGGGTAATATACGGGTATAAGGTATAAGGTATATGGGTATAAGTTGACCAAACCACACACTAGAAAGTGAAGGGACGATGACGTTTCGACTTGATCGACTTGAGAATGGACCAGGACGGACCGAAACGTCGTCGTCCCTTCACCTTCTAGTGTGTGGTCTGGTTAACATACTTCAGCCACGTTATTGTAACTCCTCGTCTGCATATGGGTATAAGGTAAGGGTAACATACAGGTATAAGGTAAGGGTAACATACAGGTATAAGGTAAGGATAACATACAGGTATAAGGTAGCGGTAACTAGAAACCAATACCTAATTCTACACCACAAATTACACTACAGTACATCTTCTTTTTTAAACCCTATCTACGAGGTATTTAAATAGGGTTTAAACCTATTTAAACCCTATGTAGAGTACCTCTATGACACGTGTTGGGTTAAAAACCAACTAGGCTTTAACAGATCCCATGAAATTGGATCCTGTAGAATTTGATCCCATGGACGGACGAGATATAACTTCAGTCGCTGAGGGGATACTGTGACCCCCTTGAGCGGGATCTAATGCCTTACTGTGACCCCTTGAGCCGGATCTAATGCCTTCCCTTAGGGCGCTAACATGATGTGCTTGTATGCTGCCATTCCTGGCATGAGCAGAGGCTTGGGTTGGCGGATATTGTGTCCTAAGTCAGACGACTGTGTCAGATGGATTTTTGTCGCAGGTACTGTTGGATGGTTGATGGCCAGAGACAGTGAGGTCACGACTGTGTGGTGAGGGATAATGCTCCATGCAACACAGATATATTGTTCCATGCAATGGACATATAATGTTCCATGCAACACAGATATAATGCTCTATGCAACAGAGAGTGCTTCAAGCAAAGATACATAGCACTAGCCAGTCAAAATACGTCGATAGGGACATTTTAGACAGAAAGTCAGATTTAGAGACGGAATTAGAGACAGTAAGAATTAGAGACAGATTAGGAGCTAGAGACGTTATGATAATTCCAGAGGGAATTAGAGAGGGAGTGAAAGACAGATTCAGACAGGGAGTTAGAGACAGGCGTTGGACGGACCTGTCGGAGTCGCGCTGGTAGAATCGTCTGTGTCGGCGCCGTCTTCCCGACACCCGCCGCCGCCGCTGCCGCCCCGCCCGCCGCCGCCGCTGCCGCCACCGCCGCTGCCGCTGCTGTTGGTGGGAGAGGGCGACGCCACGTTCATGTTATTGGTGGAGGTGTTGTTGTTGAGGCCGTGGAGGTGAGGTGGGGAGGGCGCCCCCTTCAGGTTGCTCCTGAGGCCTAGGATGGCGTCTATGGTGTGGGAGGCGCAGGTGGGGGTGACGGTGAGGGTGGCGGCGGCCGCCCCTACACCCACAAGTGACCCGCCGCCGGCCCCGCCGCCCTCAAATCTCTCCAACACCAGTTTGGTGGAGGCTTCGGAGCGCTTAAGCTCTGTGGCGAGGTCTGGTTTGGTGGCCTCCAGAGAGTACTTGGCCTCCTGCGGCCCGCTCTCCTGGTAACTGTACTGACTCTCGCTGCCGAAGGCGTTCTCGAAGTCCCGGTGGCTCTTGGCGTCGAATGAAAGTCGACGGTGTGAGTCGACAGTGTGGGCGGGGGCTAGCGAGAGACTGGTGACCTCGCTAAGTTCAGCGGTGGTCAGGGCCATGGTCCACACACTCACACTTCACACTCGCCTAACACACTCTTCACTAGCGTGAGGGAGCCGCCTATTATATGCGAGTCGAGCGCCTCAAAAGCCACTGAGCGAGAAAGCCATCACACGGGAGAAATAAGACTCAGCGACTCATGCTGCCGCCAAATGGCCGTGCAGGAAGAGCGACTTGTGTGTGTGACAACATGTTTCCCGCCGGACCCCGGCCCTCTATCCGGCTAAGCCCCGCCCACACGCCGCCCGTCGCCCACTCCCATTGGTCCTCCACCCGCCTGTTATCATAGAGGCGGGGCTTAGCCACGGGAGGGCGTGACGTCATCACCTCTTGGCCAATCAGTTCGCAGCATGTCAAGTAATGGTTAGATGAAAGCGCTGACTCGAGCCCCAATTGAAGCGATTTGTACCGTAATGAAATTATATGTGTGTATCAAAGGAAATAAATTGATATCAACAACCCCCAGACACTAAACGGTCTTTTATCAGGAGGGCCAGAGTGAAAAATTGGGCGGGAAAACAGTTGTTAGGAGCAGATGTCTGGGGGAGAAGCAGAGCGCAGGGTGAACGAAAATTTCCCCGACTCCAGGACGCTAGGGAAATAATTGAGTAGTGACAACTCATTAGCTCTCGGCACAATGGTGGTAATGGAAAAGACCTGATACAGGCGGCCGAGCGGCACTTACTCATATAAAGATGGCGAAGCACTCAATTTGCTCTCCCTCGGGATTCGGGGGGATTTTTCCCCCGGTTTCAACCGCTTTCAAAATTCCTCAGTTGCTTGACTTTTGGGGGAATAATGTTCCATTTTAAGAAGAGTAGAGGGAGGGGGTGGGGGGATATTTTGGTTAGAGGGGAAGGGAGGATTAATTCATGAACACCTTCTGTGGGACGCTTTATGTCGGTAAATATCGTACAGCCAGAAGCCTATTTTTCGTGAATATATCGTTTTTCTTTTACCTTATCAACGGGCGATGGATGATCAAGAGACTGGTGATGTCTAGCGTGTGAATTGTTGGCTACCTGGGGGTTTTGAGACCAAGGGACTGACTGTGGGGTTTCGAACCCAAGGGACTGACTATGAGGTTTCGAGTCCAGCATAAGGTGGGTTTCGGTACCAGAATAAATAGGTTTCAAAACCATGGGGCAATGATTTAGAGACCAGGATGAATACGTTTCGAAACCAGATTGGGCGGTTGGGTTTTGAGACCAGGGCTGGGTGGAGGCGGCGAGGCCCAAGAATCAATATACCTCCCGCTCGGCCCCAGACCACTAACACTATCGCAGAATCTTTCTTATTAATGCTATCACTCCGTTACTTGCCCACAATTTATTGGTTCCTCCGCGTTATCTTCTTTCTCTCATTCTCTGCATCCTTGTTGGCGTACCGGAAGGGGGCCATGTTTCCTTGTTTTGATTCCCTCTTGTATTTGTTTCCTGTGTGTGTGTTTGCTGCTATCCAGTGGGCCTAGATGTTTCAGTTTGATTGATAAAGATTGATTGATAGAGATTAAGCCACTCAAAAGGTGGCACGGGCATGAATAGCCCGTAAGTGGAGGCTCTCTGGAGCCATTACCAGTACCAGTGGCTGGTACTGGAGGTCTGTGGATGGATGGTTTCAGTTTTCTTTAACGCTGATTATATATTTACTCCAGAGGATTAACCTGACTACGTTACCTGTCACTAGCCTGCATCTTCCCTTCCTGCTTCTGCTTCCTGCTTCTGCTTCCTGCTTCTGCTTCCTGCCTCTGCTTCCTGCTTCTGCTTCCTGCCTCTGCTTCCTGCTTCTGCTTCCTGCCTCTGCTTCCTGCTTCTGTTTCCTGCCTCTGCTTCCTGCTTCTGTTTCCTGCCTCTGCTTCCTGCCTCTGCTTCCTGCTTCTGCTTCCTGCTTCTGCTTCCTGCTTCTGTTTCCTGCCTCTGCTTCCTGCTTCTGCTTCCTGCCTCTGCTTCCTGCTTCTGCTTCCTGCTTCTGCTTCCTGCTTCTGTTTCCTGCCTCTGCTTCCTGCTTCTGCTTCCTGCCTCTGCTTCCTGCTTCTGCTTCCTGCTTCTGCTTCCTGCCTCTGCTTCCTGCCTCTGCTTCCTGCTTCTGCTTCCTGCCTCTGCTTCCTGCGTCTGCTTCCTGCTTCTGCTTCCTGCTTCTGTTTCCTGCCTCTGCTTCCTGCTTCTGCTTCCTGCCTCTGCTTCCTGCTTCTGCTTCCTGCCTCTGCTTCTTGCCTCTGCTTCTTGCTTCTGCTTCCTGCCTCTGCTTCCTGCCTCTGCTTCCTGCCTCTGCTTCCTGCTTCTGCTTCCTGCCTCTGCTTCCTGCCTCTGCTTCTTGCCTCTGCTTCTTGCCTCTGCTTCCTGCCTCTGCTTCCTGCCTCTGCTTCTTGCCTCTGCTTCTTGCCTCTGCTTCCTGCCTCTGCTTCCTGCTTCTGCTTCCTGCCTCTGCTTCCTGCCTCTGCTTCCTGCTTCTGCTTCCTGCTTCTGCTTCTTGCCTCTGCTTCTTGCTTCTGCTTCCTGCTTCTGCTTCCTGCTTCTGCTTCTTGCCTCTGCTTCTTGCTTCTGCTTCCTGCCTCTGCTTCCTGCCTCTGCTTCCTGCCTCTGCTTCCTGCCTCTGCTTCTTGCCTCTGCTTCTTGCCTCTGCTTCCTGCCTCTGCTTCCTGCCTCTGCTTCCTGCTTCTGCTTCCTGCCTCTGCTTCCTGCTTCTGCTTCCTGCTTCTGCTTCCTGCCTCTGCTTCCTGCCTCTGCTTCTTGCCTCTGCTTCTTGCCTCTGCTTCCTGCCTCTGCTTCCTGCCTCTGCTTCCTGCTTCTGCTTCCTGCCTCTGCTTCCTGCCTCTGCTTCTTGCCTCTGCTTCTTGCCTCTGCTTCCTGCCTCTGCTTCCTGCCTCTGCTTCCTGCTTCTGCTTCCTGCCTCTGCTTCCTGCCTCTGCTTTTTGCCTCTGCTTCTTGCCTCTGCTTCCTGCCTCTGCTTCCTGCCTCTGCTTCCTGCTTCTGCTTCCTGCCTCTGCTTCCTGCTTCTGCTTCCTGCCTCTGCTTCCTGCCTCTGCTTCCTGCCTCTGCTTCTTGCCTCTGCTTCCTGCCTCTGCTTCTTGCCTCTGCTTCCTGCCTCTGCTTCCTGCCTCTGCTTCCTGCCTCTGCTTCCTGACTGGCGTTCTTCGCTCCTACTCCTCTCTTCTATTTCTCCCTCATACTTCTTTCTCCTCACTTCCCAATTCCTGACCTCTCTTCCCTCTTACAGCTCACTCCTTCCCCTACCCAGTCATCGCATCCCAATTCCCTCATTCCCCTCCTGTACCCCTACTACTCCCTCCCCCTCCCCTACCCCCACTACACCCTCCCCCTCCCTACCCCCACTACCCTCACTCCCGACACCTCATGAGAGACTTGCTAGTACTAATAGGAGTGTAACAAACGTCTCAGCGAGCCCTTAACAAGTATCTTTAGTAAATCATTTGACTCTGGAGTTATACTGTAGCATGGAGGGTCACCAACGTAGTACTAATTCTCCAAATGTGGGCAGATCTTTGACCACTAATTACCAGTTAGTTTGCTTAGCATCAATTCTGGTCATTGGTAAAGTTAAATGATGCAGTAATAAATTAAATTCGTAATCAACTTGACAGGATTAATTGCATATTTTTGGCCCCTCAAATAAAGGTGTATTAGATAGTGTTTATATCTTATAATTTTGCTTTAATTGAACAGACATGTTGAAAGCAATTTATTTTGGTGAAAATTATAGTATGCTTCATCTTGAGTAAGGCTGTCGACACTGTTCATCTTGTGGTGAGTAATGAACTACGGAAATATTAAATGAGAGGAAAGATTCAGCCTCAACTGGATGAAGTTTAGACTGAGTTAGGCAGTCAGAAGCTGTGTGTCAGATGGCTGGGTCTTGAGATCTTGATTGTTCATCACTGACATTAATGGTTGTTATATATGAATAATTAGCGAGATTGGTACAGTGTCAGACTTATTGTAAATGCGGAAAATCAATGTAAATGCGTAAAAAATAATGTAAATGCGTAAAAACAATGTAAATGACGACTAGAGAACAGTCGGAACACTTCAATAAGCACATTCCTCTTGTCAAAGGCTCGTACTACCTATTTTCTCTAGGATGCAACCCCACAACAGTTGCCTAACTCTATGGGGTACCTATTTACTACTGGGTGAAAGACGCATCAGGTGATTGGAAACGTTCCCCAACCATTTCTGTCCCCGCCCGGGCATCCCCGATTACGATCTAAGAACGTAGACCTCTATACCACAGGACCCATATCTAGAATCATCAGTGACTGGAATGCCTTTGTTTACGTCTAAGTTTACCTTGCGCTTGTCACACTTCACTTGGATTCCGTCTCTCAATGTTGATCGCCAGTGGGACCAGATTCACGAAACATTTACGCAAGTACTTACGAACGTGTACATCTTTTCTCAATCTTTGACGGCTTTAGTTACATTTATTAAACAGTTTTCTAGCATGAAAAGTTCCCAATCAACTGTTGTTATTGTTATAAATAGCCTCCTGGTGCTTCGGAGCTCATTAACTGTTTGATTATTGTAAACAAAGCCGCCAAAGATTGAGAAAAGATGTACAGATTCGTAACTGCTTCGTGAATCTGGCCCCAGACTACAGAATTAGACATAAAATGTCTTCTGGAAGCATTTAACAATAATACCAATACCTATTCAGGATATAAATTGACACAACGAATTTAAATGGTAAAAATTGGGATTGGACAAATTTTAATTGGATTAAATTAATTGGATAATAAATTAAATTTAATTGGATTAAATTGGTCAAATTTAGATTAAACACCTATAAACAGACACTAATTCGTTCCATAAAGTAGCAGACGGGAGGAACAGACTATGAAGTCTCTCCAGTAACTCCATTACTACGGCTACCTTGAACATTAGGATAGACAACTGTAAGGTTAGAATCGGATATATATATATATATATACATGGGTAAAATAGGATAAATCCATATTTAAAATAGAATAGATAAATGCACGGTTGAAATAGGATAAATGCATTGTAAAATAGTGTAGACAGATGCAGGGTTGAAATAGGTAAGATGTATGGTCAAAATACGTAAGATGTATGGTCAAAATACGTAAGATGTATGGTCAAAATAGGATAGATATATACAGGGAGGAAATAGGAATGCATATAAGTGCATGTAAGCTGCATATAAGCTGTATATTAGCTGCATATAAGTGCACGTAAGCTGTTTATAAGTGCATATAAGTTGTGTATTAGCTGCATATAAGTGCATATAAGCTGTATATTAACTGCATATAAGTACATATACGCTGCATATAGGTACATATACGCTGCATATAAGTGCCTATAAACAGCATTACCCAGCACTGTCCAGGTCTGCTGTGAACCACTTCCTTGAGGTTATCTTGAGATGATTTCGGGGCTTTTTAGTGTCCCCGCGGCCCGGTCCTCGACCAGGCCTCCACCCCCCAGGAAGCAGCCCGTGACAGCTGACTAACACCCAGGTACCTATTTTACTGCTAGGTAACAGGGGCATAGGGGTGAAAGAAACTTTTTGCCCATTGTTTCTCGCCGGCGCCTCTGATCGAACCCAGGACCACAGGATCACAAGTCCAGCGTGTTGTCTACTCGGCCGACCGGCTCCCCACTTTCTCAGTGTTCAGCAACATGATTTTCATATTAAATATTTTAACACCAAGACCTTTTCAAGCATGCAATAGTCAGTATTAACAACGCCAGCAACCCCATCAAACCCCCTTAACAACCCCCAAACCATCTCAACAACCCCAACGGATGTTTCTGGACGTAATAGGCAGTGGGTTTAAAACATCTGACATCGTGACTAATGCCATGTACATTAAACTCCATTTTCTGAGAGGAAATGAGATCAGAGTATGGAAGCGGCGCGTGTTTTTGCGTGGGAGATGTGTGAGGGGAGGAGAGGAAGAGGAGAGGGCGGTCATCTCCATTGTGGATATGAGAGAGGAAATGAGCCAGGTGTGTGTCAGGGAGCCACGTGAGTGGTCACTGGTGTTCCTGCAGTCACTGGGGGGGGGATGGAACTTGCAATTGCATGCAATAAAATACACAGGGAGTAAATGACAATCAGCGAGGTCTCTTCCGCTTGAGGATAGCGTGGAGGAGGGGATTAAACTGATTACTGAAAAGGGTAGTGTGTTCTAGGGCAAGCCGGGTTCCTGGTTCAGTATACTCACCTAGTTGTGCTGGTGGAGGGTTGAGCTCTGGCTCCTTGGTCCCGCCTCTCAACTCTTAATCAATCAACTGTTACTAATAACTAATTCCCCCCACCCCCCCCCCCCACCCACACACACCCCAGGAAGTAGTCTGTAAAAGCTGTCTAACTCCAAGACACTGCTCCTGTTACTGCTAGGTAACAGGGGCATCAGGGTGAAAGAGACTCTGCCTATCTGTTTCCTCCGGCGCCGGGAATCGAACCCCGGTCCACAAGACTACGTATCCAGCATGCTGTTCGCTCAGCCACCAGTGTGTGTGTGTGAGAGAGAGAGAGAGAGAGAGAGAGAGAGAGAGAGAGAGAGAGAGAGAGAGAGAGAGGAGAGAGAGAGAATGAACCGAACATGTATGAACCGAAACATTCATACATGCATCTCTTCATGTATACATTCTTCCTATTACCCCTTACCACCTTCCCCCTCCCCCTCCGTCCTCTCTCCCCCTCCCCACTCCCCCCTCCCCCCTCCCCATCCCCCTTCCCCTCTCTCCCCCTCCCCCCCTCCCCTCTCTACCTCTCCTCCCCTACACTCCCTACAGGCAGGGCGGTCTCTCCCTACACAACACTTAACCAGTTATTCAAATTGCTTTACCACTCAATCACAAGGATTTACCTTCCGTGTTATTGAGTTTGTGGTCCGAGATAGTAAATCACTTAGTACCTTGCTTTGTCGAGTGCTGGCTTTATTGGTTGGTGTTGACTGGCTTTATTGGTTGGTGTTGACTGGCTTTATTGGTAGGTGTTGACTGGCTTTATTGGTAGGTGTTGACTGGCTTTATTGGTAGGTGTTGACTGGCTTTATTGGTAGGTGTTGACTGGCTTTATTGGTAGGTGTTGACTGGCTTTATTGGTTGGTGGTAACTGGCTTTATTGGTAGGTGTTGACTGGCTTTATTGGTAGGTGTTGACTGGCTTTATTGGTTGGTGGTAACTGGCTTTATTGGTAGGTGTTGACTGGCTTTATTGGTTGGTGGTAACTGGCTTTATTGGTTGGTGGTAACTGGCTTTATTGGTAGGTGTTGACTGGCTTTATTGGTAAGTGTTGACTGGCTTTATTGGTAGGTGTTGACTGGCTTTATTGGTAGGTGTTGACTGGCTTTATTGGTAGGTGTTGACTGGCTTTATTGGTAGGTGGTGACTGGCTTTATTGGTAGGTGTTGACTGGCTTTATTGGTTGGTGGTAACTGGCTTTATTGGTAGGTGTTGACTGGCTTTATTGGTAGGTGTTGACTGGCTTTATTGGTTGGTGTTGACTGGCTTTATTGGTTGGTGTTGACTGGCTTTATTGCTTGGTGTTGACTGGCTTTATTGGTAGGTGGTGACTGGCTTTATTGGTAGGTGTTGACTGGCTTTATTGGCTGGCGTTAAACGGCTTTATTTGCTATTTGCTTGCTATTATTGTTTGTTGTGAATTGACTATCTTTTTATTATTTTTATTTGATTAGTTCTTGGCTTTATCGGTAGTGGTAGCTTTATTGACCACTGTTATACATATTTTTGTCGAATAAAGACTACCTTTATAGGCTATTTTTGGGTGACTTTACTACTTGGTTGTGGGCTTATTCTCTAGGCTGTAACTTGCTAGCTTTATTGGTGGCTGGTTGAAATTATTGGTTATTGGATGGGTTATTTATTGGTTAATGTTGACAAACTTTATTAGTTTTAGAATTAATCTTTACTGATAGTTATTTTATTATTTTAGTTTTACATCATCCATTGTTCCTTGACCTGTTGCTTGACCTCCTGTTGCTCCTTGACCTGTTGCTTGACCTCCTGTTGCTCCTTGACCTGTTGCTTGACCTCCTGTTGCTCCTTGACCTGTTGCTTGACCTCCTGTTGCTCCTTGACCTGTTGCTTGACCTCCTGTTGCTCCTTGACCTTTTGCTTGACCTCCTGTTGCTCCTTGACCTGTTGCTTGACCTCCTGTTGCTCCTTGACCTGTTGCTTGACCTCCTGTTGCTCCTTGACCTGTTGCTTGACCTCCTGTTGCTCCTTGACCTGTTGCTTGACCTCGTGTTGCTCCTTGACCTGTTGCTTGACCTCCTGTTGCTCCTTGACCTGTTGCTTGACCTCCTGTTGCTCCTTGACCTGTTGCTTGACCTCCTGTTGCTCCTTGACCTGTTGCTTGACCTCCTGTTGCTCCTTGACCTGTTGCTTGACCTCCTGTTGCTCCTTGACCTGTTGCTTGACCTCCTGTTGCTCCTTGACCTGTTGCTTGACCTCCTGTTGCTCCTTGACCTGTTGCTTGACCTCCTGTTGCTCCTTGACCTGTTGCTTGACCTCCTGTTGCTCCTTGACCTGTTGCTTGACCTCCTGTTGCTCCTTGACCTGTTGCTGTTATTGACCTGTTGCTTGACCTCCTGTTGCTCCTTGACCTGTTGCTTGACCTCCTGTTGCTCCTTGACCTGTTGCTTGACCTCCTGTTGCTCCTTGACCTGTTGCTGTTATTGACCTCTTGCTTGACCTCCTGTTGCTCCTTGACCTGTTGCTTGACCTCCTGTTGCTCCTTGACCTGTTGCTTGACCTCCTGTTGCTCCTTGACCTGTTGCTTGACCTCCTGTTGCTCCTTGACCTGTTGCTTGACCTCCTGTTGCTCCTTGACCTGTTGCTGTTATTGACCTGTTGCTTGACCTCCTGTTGCTCCTTGACCTGTTGCTTGACCTCCTGTTGCTCCTTGACCTGTTGCTTGACCTCCTGTTGCTCCTTGACCTGTTGCTGTTATTGACCTCTTGCTTGACCTCCTGTTGCTCCTTGACCTGTTGCTTGACCTCCTGTTGCTCCTTGACCTGTTGCTTGACCTCCTGTTGCTCCTTGACCTGTTGCTTGACCTCCTGTTGCTCCTTGACCTGTTGCTTGACCTCCTGTTGCTCCTTGACCTGTTGCTTGACCTCCTGTTGCTCCTTGACCTGTTGCTTGACCTCCTGTTGCTCCTTGACCTGTTGCTGTTATTGACCTCTTGCTTGACCTCCTGTTGCTCCTTGACCTGTTGCTTGACCTCCTGTTGCTCCTTGACCTGTTGCTTGCCCTCCTGTTGCTCCTTGACCTGTTGCTTGACCTCCTGTTGCTCCTTGACCTGTTGTTTGACCTCCTGTTGCTCCTTGACCTGTTGCTGTTATTGACCTGTTGCTTGACCTCCTGTTGCTCCTTGACCTGTTGCTGTTATTGACCTGTTGCTTGACCTCCTGTTGCTCCTTGACCTGTTGCTGTTATTGACCTCTTGCTTGACCTCCTGTTGCTCCTTGACCTGTTGCTTGACCTCCTGTTGCTCCTTGACCTCTTGCTTGACCTCCTGTTGCTCCTTGACCTCTTGCTTGACCTCCTGTTGCTCCTTGACCTGTTGCTGTTATTGACCTGTTGCTTGACCTCCTGTTGTTCCTTGACCTGTTGCTGTTATTGACCTGTTGCTTGACCTCCTGTTGCTCCTTGACCTCTTGCTGTTATTGACCTCTTGCTTGACCTCCTGTTGCTCCTTGACCTGTTGCTGTTATTGACCTGTTGCTTGACCTCCTGTTGCTCCTTGACCTGTTGCTGTTATTGACCTCTTGCTTGACCTCCTGTTGCTCCTTGACCTGTTGCTGTTATTGACCTCTTGCTTGACCTCCTGTTGCTCCTTGACCTGTTGCGTTATTGACCTCTTGCTTGACCTCCTGTTGCTCCTTGACCTGTTGCTGTTATTGACCTCTTGCTTGACCTCCTGTTGCTCCTTGACCTGTTGCTGTTATTGACCTGTTGCTTGACCTCCTGTTGCTCCTTGACCTGTTGCTGTTATTGACCTCTTGCTTGACCTCCTGTTGCTCCTTGACCTGTTGCTGTTATTGACCTCTTGCTTGACCTCCTGTTGCTCCTTGACCTGTTGCTGTTATTGACCTCTTGCTTGACCTCCTGTTGCTCCTTGACCTGTTGCTGTTATTGACCTCTTGCTTGACCTCCTGTTGCTCCTTGACCTGTTGCTGTTATTGACCTGTTGCTTGACCTCCTGTTGCTCCTTGACCTGTTGCTGTTATTGACCTCTTGCTTGACCTCCTGTTGCTCCTTGACCTGTTGCTGTTATTGACCTCTTGCTTGACCTCCTGTTGCTCCTTGACCTGTTGCTGTTATTGACCTGTTGCTTGACCTCCTGTTGCTCCTTGACCTGTTGCTGTTATTGACCTGTTGCTTGACCTCCTGTTGCTCCTTGACCTGTTGCTGTTATTGACCTCTTGCTTGACCTCCTGTTGCTCCTTGACCTGTTGCTGTTATTGACCTCTTGCTTGACCTCCTGTTGCTCCTTGACCTGTTGCTGTTATTGACCTCTTGCTTGACCTCCTGTTGCTCCTTGACCTGTTGCTGTTATTGACCTGTTGCTTGACCTCCTGTTGCTCCTTGACCTGTTGCTGTTATTGACCTCTTGCTTGACCTCCTGTTGCTCCTTGACTTCCCACTGTTCCTTGACATTCCACTGTTCCTTGACATTCCACTGTTCCTTGACATTCCACTGTTCCTTGACATTCCACTGTTCCTTGACATTCCACTGTTCCTTGACATTCCACTGTTCCTTGACATTCCACTGCTCCTTGACCTTATATTGTTCCTTGACATTCCACTGTTCCTTGACATTCCACTGTTCCTTGACATTCCACTGCTCCTTGACCTTATATTGTTCCTTGACATTCCACTGTTCCTTGACATTATACTGTTCCTTGACATTCCACTGCTCCTTGACCTTATACTGTTCCTTGACATTCCACTGTTCCTTGACATTATACTGTTCCTTGACATTCCACTGTTCCTTGACCTTATACTGTTCCTTGACATTCCACTGTTCCTTGACATTATACTGTTCCTTGACATTCCACTGTTCCTTGACCTTATACTGTTCCTTGACATGCCACTGTCCTTGACATTCCACTGTTCCTTGACCTTATACTGTTCCTTGACATGCCACTGTCCTTGACATTCCACTGTTCCTTGACATTATACTGTTCCTTGACATTCCACTGTTCCTTGACATTATACTGTTCCTTGACATTCCACTGTTCCTTGACATTCCACTGTTCCTTGACATTCCACTGTTCCTTGACATTCCACTGTTCCTTGACATTCCACTGTTCCTTGACATTCCACTGTTCCTTGACATTCCACTGTTCCTTGACTTGGAGTGCTGGAGACTTGTTCATTGTGTTATTTGCGTTTTGCTGATGATTCAGTAAATGAGGAAGCATTCTCTCTCTCTCTCTCTCTCTCTCTCTCTCTCTCTCTCTCTCTCTCTCTCTCTCTCTCTCTCTCTCTCTCTCTCTCTCTCTCTCTCTCTCTCTCTCTCTCCTCTCTCTCTCTCCCTCTCTCTCTCTGTTCAGTCGTACATTATCCAGCATCTCGTGGTAAATGTTGTTGTTCCTGATACGTGTTCACTCTGTTATAATAATATTGGTGTTTGTTCACCATTGTTCTCTCAGCCCCTGCTTTGCTCTTTTCTCTCTCCCTTCTCTGACCTCTAATCTCCTCCTCCTTCTCTTTTTCCCATTTGAACGTTTAATCTGCATATCTTTCCTTCATCTAATTTCCCTTTTTATTTCCTCACTGATCTCTCATCTCCCTTCCTCCTCCTCCTCCTCCTCTTCCTCCCTGATGTTTCAACTTCCTTCTCTTATGCCTACCTTTCATCCGCCTTATCTCATTTCTTCTCTTCGTGACTTCCTTTCAAACTTCCTGCTGCCTCCCTCATCTCTCCCATCCTTTTTCTGTCTCATCTCTCTCCCTCTTCCCTGTTTCCTTACTCCGCCCTTCCCTCTCTCCCTCCCCCTCCCTTCTTTCCATCTCTCCCTCCCCTCCCTTCCTTCCCTCCCTCCTTCCGAGTCGGCCACATCTGGCGCTCTTCCCACTTCTTCATTTCCTACAGTGCACTTCATGACGGGGAAGAATAGACCCCGGGGAGCTGCTCGGGGAAGTATACGGGGCTTCGGCTACTAGAGGTGCACTAGGGGGCTACTAGAGGGACCCTCATGAGGCTACTAGAGGGCCCCCCACATGGGGCTACTAGAGGTGCACCAGGGGCAACTAGAGGTGCACCAGGGGGCTACTAGAGGGCCCTCATGAGGCTACTAGAGGGCCCCCCACATGGGGCTACTAGAGGTGCACCAGGGGCTACTAGAGGTGCACCAGGGGCTACTAGAGGTGCACCAGGGGGCTACTAGAGGGCCCTCGTGGGACTACTAGAGGGCCCCCCACATGGGGCTTCTAGAGGTGCACCAGGGGGCTACTAGAGGGCCCCCCACATGGGGATACTAGAGGTGCACCAGGGGGCTACTAGAGGCACCCCCACATGGGGCTACTATAGGGCTACCTGAGGTCTTGAAGGATGCTGTCAAAGGGACCACTAGGGGGCTACCAGTGAACCAGTAATGGACTGGCGGAAGGACGGAAATGCCTGTTAAAGTCCAGAATTATCATGAAAAAGTGGAGTAGAATGAAAAGTGTGAGAGTAAGAGAGAGAGAGAGAGAGAGAGAGAGAGAGAGAGAGAGAGAGAGAGAGAGAGAGAGAGAGAGGAGAGACGGAAGGATGAGCTCCTCCTCGTAAAACTGATGTACATGTTAACTGAACGTCGGACCCAATTTCCTGAGACACACAACTTGTCCTGTTCATTTTCATCTCTCAGCCGTTCCGGAAATATTTCAGAATATCGCGGAGAGTACGATATTTCTTCGGGGAGTGCGGGGGAGGGAGTGGGAGTACGATATTTCTTCTAGGGGAGAGTACGATATTTTTTCCAGAGTACGATATATCTCTGATGCTGAGAGCAGATGAGGTTGGACTAGCAAGAGGATGTTTCTCTCGCCTCGGGTCCTGATGTTAGGCGGTGATCGTAGGAATGATTCCGGGTCGAGCAAGTGTGAGGAACCGTCGCTACACCCGAGGACAATGTGTAGGGAGAATGTGTAGTCAATTCTACGTTATGGTGTTGGTCGGCTGCTGTTGGTCGGCTGGTATTGGGTAGGCGGAGTGGTTCCTCTCTTAGGCGACGGCTCTTCTATTTGGCTGATGGGTGGTCTATTTAGGTGACGGCTCTTCTATTTGGCTGATGGGTGGTCCATTTAGGCGACGGCCAACAATCGCTCCGGATAGCCGTCACTTAGTGTTACCTGCTTAAGGAATGGCTTAACAGAACTGTGGCACCAAGACTTTTGAAATATTTTAATTTGTCGATTATTGTGTTATGTCCTGACGGTGATGTGAGGCCCCTAACGACGGTGAGGGGCCCCTAGCGACGGTGAGGCCCCTAGCGACGGTGAGGCCCCTAGCGACGGTGAGGGCCCTAGCGACGGTGAGGGCCCTAGCGACGGTGAGGCCCCTAGCGACGGTGAGGGCCCTAGCGACGGTGAGGGCCCCTAGCGACGGTGAGGCCAGGACCCTAGCCACGGTGAGGTGAGGGCCCCTAGCGACGGTGCAGAGGTCTCTGGAGGACTGTGTAGTCAAGGCTTGTGCTTGGGGACCCGACCACGCACATTTTCAGTTTGTTAAATCCGTAGCAGTCGTTGGATTAGGTTCGGTTGAGTAAGGTTCGGTTGGGTTAGGTTCGGCTGAGTAAGGATCGGTTGGATTAGGTTAGGTTGAGTAAGGTTTAGCAGGTTTTTCAATCCGTTGGCGAACCATCTTGTGTACGGTATGATTTGAATCCGGTTGTCTTAACTGCACCCCATTGCTAGGATTTTAGTGCTCGTTGTAGGGGTTACATACCCAACCCTCTACAAGCTCTAGAGGGTATCTGTGGGTATCTGTG